GAATTAAATTCATGGCAGCGAGCATGATTACTTAACAAATAATTTTTAATGCAATTTTGAAGTTTAGAACTATATTTGAAAATTCTATGAATGAAGATACGACATTTTTTTATTATAAACAATTCCATTTTAATTAAGAATTTTACTAACTAGCAAGAAATAATAATCTTAACTGTATTTTACGCAAATAAATATGAAAAATTACGCAAATTACGTGCTGAAATTCTGCTAATTTTATATTTAAATAATTCTACATTAATTTTTATTAATTAAACAAATATTTTTTGCTATAAACAATGATTTAAAAAAGTAATCATAGTAAAGAATAGAAGAAGTAAAAATGAAAATCATTCTGTTTCTTTGCTCTTTTATAGTTTCCTGTATAGTCTGAAAGTAAAACAATAAAAAAAGATACAAACAATACTCACTAATAAACAACGTGCGGTATCGTGCACAGTTGGTAAAACAAACATTGGAAAGTAAAATAAGGTTACAAACATTCTCTGAAAGATAATTTTTATAGGAAAATGTCATTTTTTGGCTGTTTCTAAATAGTATATGCAGAGCAAGTATTATAAGTTGATATATTCTTAGTAAACGCATATTTTACACAAAGATTATCTATTAGTAATTACATAATCTTTTTTGTATGATTTAAAGAATTTATTGATTTTTGATTTTTGATTTTTTTAAACACCAACAAGCCGTTTGACCGTCCTCTACCCTATACCTTATGTAAAAAAAAATTATTTTCAAAATTTGTTAACAACTATGGAGTAAAATTTGTTAACACCTATGAAGTAAAATTTGATGAAGTAAAAAAATGCAGAAGTTTCAGCAATTGTAAAATAATTAGTATCATGTTTTAATGTTTGATAAATAATGCAAAATTTAAATTCTAAATTATAACTGCTGTTTTCCCACGTAATGCCATTTCTAACTTTCAATTTCCCATTAACTTAAACTTCTTGTATAACTTTATATTGTAGGTTATTAATTAATCATGAATTATACTTTTTAAGTTTTCCACTCATGTTTGCATGAACTTTGCTAAAAGTTAGATAAATGTTTTAAACCACTTAAATGTTTAAAACTTTTTACTTGACTGAGTCGGGATGCGTCTATCCTTGATGTACATTGTACATATGTTGGTTCAGAAATATATTATAACTATAGGCTTAGAAAGGCCGCTTTGTACCATACATCTTTCTAACGATAATCTTAGTTTATATTGCACTACTTCTATATTCTGTGAGCCTTTCGTACAAGTTAAAATAAATAACAATAATAAGGACCTGCAAATACTCGCCACAAAACACAATTTAGAATCCCGACATTTTTGGAACCTGATGGTGTAAACCAGTCTGTAATACTTCAAACTGTAACTTCTGTTAAATAGAATTAGTTGCAAAGATATAGTGATTAGATTATCAGTGCTTTTCACGGGTTTTCTGTGTTTTTTTCCAATCCGATTGAAATAGTATTTTTTGAATGCCTTAAACCTTCCTTGGGGTCATCCACTACACATAAAAATTGGGCCAGAATCTCGTTATAATAACCAAGAATGCAGTACGCTCTCGGTATAGTTCATGGCCTATTCAATTAATAAAGGATTAGCGTACATCATCACTCTATACACTATAACCTCGTTGAAAAAGATATTTCACTTAAAAATTTCATTTTAGTTGTACGAAGATCTTACATGGCTCCTTTTGTCTAATGCAAGGGCGTGACATAAATGTAGAAGTATCTTTTAACTTCTAGATGTTTTTGGAATCAATGAATATTAATTTTTTTGGAAAATGCGCCAAAAATTACCATTTTTAATTTTTGTTTTGTTTCTATGTTCCTACAAGGAGAAACTCAGTGCCGGAAATATGACCCGTGTAGTGTGTATGCTTACATGCAAAAATATATTACATGACAAAACTTTCGTTTTCTGTTTAATTATTTAGTTTTATATAAAAAGTAAATCCTTTTATGTTATCAAACCTAATTTGTTAGTAATTAATGACCTACATCTAGTCACGAACATCCATCTCAAAACTACCTGTACAATAATAAAAATTTGTGTAAAAAAAGAAATATTTTGAAAATCCACCATAAAATTTTAATAAATCCTAAGAAATTCTTTTTATATTGTTCGAAGAGAAAATTATACGTTTATTATTGTTGTACATGAATATATTTTGCTAAAGTTCAAGTCTATAAGTATACCGTGCAGGCATATTCATTAAATTTTTATAAGGAGAAGTGTTGATAAATATGCATGTATTGTAAATTCATTGAAAAATATTTTGGAGACCTTCGCTTAGGATTAGAACAATAAATTTAATAGTTACGAGTAGTGTTTGCAGAGAACGAAACATTTCGCGAGAAAAATGCAAAAATTATGAAAAGAAGCGAAATAAAATGTTCGTGAAAGTTTTGCATAATTTCGCATTTTGCAAATATATTTTTGTGAAAATTTTGAAGCAAAGTTTTTACACAAATTTTTGAATTTTTTTAATTCCGAATTTTTTCGCGAAAAAGCGAAAAATGTTGCATTTTCCTTGAGCGAACGAAATGCGAAAAAATGCAAAAATTTTCGCTAAACGATTTTTCCTTTTCCCTAGTTTCGTAACTTTGAAATGAAAAAAAAAGAATATTTGAGAATTGCAGTCTACCACACACAAATATATTTCTTTAAATGTTAAAATACAAATAGTAAAAAATGTGTGTTTTTGTCTTTTTACATAAAAACAAAGGACGATAGCATAAAACCTTAGTTCCAGAGGGGGCGGAAACGTCATGTGTGTGTGTCTGTACCCTAAAGAGTGTGTGTACATAATACTGAACCGAAGGCGTGTACTGTAAGGTATATAAAGTACATAAGAATCTCGGTATTTGTACAGTCTAGGAGAGTACATTTGTGTATTGCTAATTGTTTACTTAAAAATAAGTTTAATATAATATTATCTATATATTTAAGTCAACACTATAAGCCAAATTTTCATGCAAAGAATATAATTTGATTAAAGTTTACAAGAAACTACTCATTAGTCAAGCTTAATTATAATTAACGACATTGTTCTGAAATTTTCTTGACTTTGCTCATGTTGTGTGTCTGTACCAAAAGAGTGTGCGTGGGTGATAACGAACTGTCTGCGAAGCAGTGCGACTGGCTTTCTCATTCCAGACCAGCGCCATTTACCTTCCTTTTATTCTTATTCCCTGTTTAGTTTAGAGTAAGATAAGTTGCGTCTAAATGTAAATCCTGTGTTGTGTGTGTAAATTAGTGGTACTTTTACTTTGCACTTTCACTTAAACACTTTAAAACTCTATCTATCTATCTATTATTATCTATCTATCTATCTATCTATCTCTCTCGCCGGATTATATGGTTTGATATCAAATATCCATAGGGAAAAAGTTCACACGTAGTTTACGCATTTTAGGATGTCAAGACCTTTTCGATTTGGCTCACATTTGACATTTATAGTTAAAAAATACTGCTTTTTTAGATTGGGTGTCTTTGGTCATTCCAATTATCCGATGTTATCCAAAATATTCTCCTTTGATAAATTTGATTAAATTTCATCCATATTTTAGCAATGTTGTTCATTTAAAATCACAATTAATCAATCCGTTGATATTTTAACAATTATGACGTCACCCGAGTTGCTTACATTAAAAAACTTGATCAAGTGATGATTAAATTAGATACGCGGGTCGTGCGCACAACAAGTCAACGTGACACCTTTAAATACTCGAGACTGTAAATGTCTTAAAGTTCAAGTGTTTGTTTTCATATTTAACCTTGAATAGTCGAGTTGGGTCCTTTAGGCAACTCAGATCTGAAAAAATGTGTAAATGCGAGGAATTATATTCTATCAATCTAGGACTGACATGACATTTACAGATATGATTGATGGATTGCGGCAAAGACGGAATCGACGCCATTTTTTTTCTTTTTTCTCGAAGGGCCATTTTTCTATATTTGACTTCCGCCTTGTTAAAATTTTTAATAAATAAATGATAAATTTGGTATTTTAAACTAAAAAAAAACATAAAATTCCCTCTGCACAAAGTTGTGGAATCGGAATATTTTCTTGTTTTTAGTTTTACTTGTGCGTAAAATTGTAAAATTAGGACATGTAAAAACTTTTTTAGTTAATTTAGTTTTATAACATAATTTATAATCATAAAACAGACATAATCTTTTATTAAAACAGACATTATCTTTAATCATATCAGACATAGTCTTTAATTAAAACAGACATAATCTTTAATTAAAACAGACATTATCTTTAATCATATATCTTTAATTAAAACAGAATAATCTTTAATTAAAACAGAATAATCTTTAATTAAAACAGATGTAATCTTTAATTAAAACAGACATAATCTTTAAGTAAAACAGACATAATCTTTAATTAAAACAGACATAATCTTTAATTAAAACAGACATGATTTTTAATTAAAACAGACATTATCTTTAATTAAAGTTTTATAAAATAGTTTATAATCATAAAACAGACATAATCTTTAATTAAAACAGAATAATCTTTAATTAAAACAGAATAATCTTTAATTAAAACAGATGTAATCTTTAATTAAAACAGACATAATCTTTAAGTAAAACAGACATAATCTTTAATTAAAACAGATATAATCTTTAATTTAAACGTCTTTAAGAGAAAAGAGATTTTCAACCAGGAATTAAGAAAACTAAAAAAATTAAATTTTAATCATCTAAACTATTATTACAACGTTTCATATCTATCTATCCAACTATCAATCTATCTATTTATCTATCTATCTGCATCCATTACTTATCTCTGCTATGTTTAGTATATGTATAACCAATTAATCATTTCTACGATACTTAAGTAGTCTTATATCCATTAATATATACACAAACCCATATCTTGCAACTCTACTACTATTCATCTATTACTGAATAAATGAATGAATGAATGACTGAATTTTATTTATTCATTAGTTTTATTTTTTTTCAGGATCTCCTTTAAACCAGTATATCAGCTACTATGAACCTGTTTACTACAACGCTAGTGAACTGGCCGGCCAGCTATCCAGCTACAGAACACGCCGGTCAATCCACCACAACAACCACAATCCACATTTTGCCTTCGATTTCCAGGCGCACAAAAGGTGATTATTTTGACATGCCTTTCTTAATTCTACACAAATTACATTTTTCACGTTTTTTGTGCAAAGTTTGAAGTTTTGGGAGAAGCATGCGAAAAACACTAAATTAATGTTTGGAATAAGATTAACAGAAAAATGAAAAATTTCATCGGAGAAAAAATATGGATTTTTTTGCTATTTTAATTATGTGGCATTTTTTATTTTAAATTTATTAAACTATTATTATTATTAAAAGCTCTTAAGGTTGACCTAATTTTTGGATCAGAAATAATATGGTTTAAAGATATAGGGAACCATTAATGTATTTTTGGATCAGAAATAATATGGTTTAAAGATATAGGGAACCATTAATGTACGAAAGGATTGAATAAATGTCGTCTCTGAAATCTAACTTTTTGTGGGTAACCCTGAACAATAACATTAAACATACGTCCCTGGTTAAACCATAAAAAAATATTTTTTTGAATATATGCGCTTAAAGGTCCTGTATTTATTTAAATATAGTTTCAAGTGACCCTCCAGTATATTTACAACGGCATTCTTTAATCGTTTGTTTAATGTTATGGTTATCCCACTTTTTCTATCTTAAAATTGGTTATTTTCAATTGCGTTTCTCTGTAAAAGTGACTTGCATATTTATGAAGCAGAAGAAAACCCGTTCTAAATCGGTCATGTCACATGAAATTACGTCTACAGTCCCGTTAACGTTTTTGCCATCAAAACTTTATTTTCTGAAAAATGAGAAGAATGAATGAATGAAGCCGACTAGAGTATTTTATCCATAACCCGCATTTTTTTAAAAATCTGTTCCCGGATTTCTGCAGTTTGCTTCGGGCAGCATAGAATTTATGGAGACTCTCAGGGGTTCCATACATTTCTTAATATGGAATCCTCTTAAACGTTTTTCTTATCTTCATTCTAAAAACTAATTCCTGCAATCCCCCCATTCCCCTCCCCCCTTGCCAATGCCTCCCCTCCCTCCCCCCTAAAGTTAGATTCTTCTAATCTTCTCTAATATATTACTCTCAGAAGATTTGTCCTTTGTTCAACCAAGATGCATCTTTTTATACAAAATTTGCCGAAATAATCTTTCTTTATTTTTCTTCAATATGTTCAAGGCTATATTCATTTTTCATAGATGTAAAAAAACAATTAATGGCTTCTCTTTTTAACCTTTCTACAGCGAGTTTGGAAATGAACAAAACAATATCAAGGAATAGAGTTTTTGTCACTGACTCAAATATTCTAATCCTTATATATGTGCCACCTGATGGTGTAAACCTTTGATATTTCAAACTTAGATTATTTGATCTAACAGAATTCATAGTTTCAAATATCTAAGGTTTAAGACATTAGGTTGCAAAGATATAGGGATTAGAAAATCAGGGATTGTGGCAAAGACTCAATTCCTTTGTTGTATAATAAAGTGGCTCACAAAGTGTTTTAACTCGCATTTGATGTTTATCTTGCAGGTGTATATTTTTATACCCTTTAAAAAAACAATACATTTAAAGAAAATTTTCTTGTTCTGAATTTTTACTTCTTTAACATGGGAACTGTTAAAAGTTTTGCTTTATGTATTCTGATGCAAATCTTTTATTTAAATGTTAAACCTTAGAAGATGGATATCTCTTTAAGCCATTTCTTAATCCTTCAATTTAAAAGTTTACACTGTGGATATCTAGTTAAGTCGCTGAAGCTAAGCTCTAAGTAAAAGTTTTGTCCTCAAAACATTTAAGGATTCTATAAAGTAAATATAAATATATATATTTTACCCAAATGATTTACGAAAAATATAAGTTGAAAATTATAAACTGGCAAATGGAAAGTTGTTTTTATCATTTTTATACTTTTTCAAAAATCCTTTATTTTCTTCAATTCAGGGATTAAATACTATTAAATATATTAAACCAAATGTATATTTGAATATGTTTAGATTGTTCCGATTACGCCTGGACGGATCAGCTGAATCCATATTCTCCCCTGACGTTGAATTCACCAGCACCAGAGGGCCTGTACAGTTTCCTGTACATAGAGTAGTACATGGATATATAGAAGGTAATAGTATAGATAGATAGATAGATAGATAGATAGATAGATAGATAGATAGATAGATAGATAGATAGATAGATAGATAGATAGTTAGATAGATAGACAGATCCAAAGGATGAGACTGTAAAGACGACCTATAAAAGCTCTGTAGATTTGCTGTTTACAAGTTAAATTAAGTAATTAAGTACTATAAATATAGTCTGGAAATGGCATTTTAAATTATTGGGAAAAGTAAGAAACAAATTTACACTTGTGGGGAATCTTAAATATGAGGAAGAGACAGTGTTAATTCCGTACAGTCGTTACTAAAGTCTCATCCTTTGTGGGTAACCCTTTAGATAGGATTACTAGAATGTGAAGACCTAATATTCCGGAGATTAACATATTCTTGAAAAGGGAAAAAGAAAATTCCTTGAAATCTTGAAATCCGAGTGAAAAGGCTTATTCTTGTAAAAAAAGGTGTTGATCATTTTATTAAACTAGACTAGAAGATGGCAGACAAACTTGCAAATATAACTCTAAGGCGGAGTAGGGTGGGGGGATTAATAAAATATGATTTTTTAGTGGATTTTTTATATTCCATTGGGGAAATTTTAGTTCAAATGATTAAATTATGTAATATTCAGATGATGGAGTGTCGACAGTGGATGGTATTGTTCAAAGCGACGGTATTTTCGACGGGAATATTGAGACTCGGGATGGAGTTTTTTACGTAGAACCAGCCTCTAGGTAATTATTAGTTGATAATTTGTCCACCAGGTGTCTCTATAGCATAAGCATTTTTAAATAGTTAGCGGATTTGCCCCCCCCCCCTTGTTCAAAGGAATAGCTTTTTATACAACAAGTTACACAGTGAAACTCAATAATTAACTAATTGATTCAATTCTGAATCAGAAAATAGTTTTGTTTCCCTGTAGCTCAAACTTCACAGCTGTAAACCGATCTTTAAGTCTCCAAAAATGAGTTTGTTACTGAGTCACCCTGTAGCCTATATAATGACCCTATATTTCAGATCAAACAAACCTTACCGCGCCCCTAGTATTAGAGCGGGGTGCGCCACCAATTTACTTTCAATTTTTCAAAATATTTTACGTTATCTATGGAACCTCCCAAACTTCTCAATATATAGATTCGAAAATTTAATAGTTCACTTTTTACATCGGGAAAATATTTTTTTTTGTATCATGTCTTTTTGTAATTTTTTCAAGTGGGAAACATACTCTCTGAGCTCTGAGATGCCTTCTTTCATGTGGGGTTTGGGGTTTCCTAAAGCCTTTTCTTCTTAAAGTAGTTTAGTTCAGAAACAAAGTCTATTTACTCTCTGTTTTAACAGTGGAGAAATTAGATTTTATTTTAAAATGTTGTTTTGTAAATCATTTGTTTTGATAAAACTTAAAAAATTGAGTTAAAAAGAAAGTTTAAAAAAAAGCTTACATATATAAAGTTTCTAAACCTTGTATGTTGTTTGTATGATGAATCTGCTCAATAGAGTTTACTGCAGTTTCTCTTAATAAAAGAAGTAATTCTAAACCAACCAAATATGGACCCAGCTTATGGAGACTTAAACGTTGCCTAAAATGCAAAATATACTTTTCATAGAATGGAGTCAAAGTCGTATACAAGGGGGCTATTGGGGGTCCGCACCCCCTCCCTAGCATAAGGAAACCTTTGGTACCCAGTGGGGTTATAGCCAAAATAAAATAATTTAAGTCTTGGAAAAATTCCTGAATACGCCATTGGATGGAGTTACAGTGTTTTGAATGGCACATCAAGTTTAAGCGTATAAAGCGTATAAGAATTTTGCGTTTTTTCTTGCAGCATTGCATTTGTTGGTTAAATATCACTTTGCAATAAAATGCATTAACATTAAAACTAAAATTTTATTCTACACCTGTTAGCAACCACTCAAGCGCACGCTTTTTTGAATTCTCCCCCCCCCTCACCTTGCCCTCCACACCTATCCTCTTTTTAATGAGGCATTTTGGAAGCAATAAACAGATCAATGTTTAAAATGACTTTATTTCATGACAATATCAAATGTAGGAAACATTGTATCCAATAATATAACTATTTATTTTTTTAACATATATTTTAAGATCTTTAAAAATCCAACCATATCATTATTATTCTTAAAAAGTCGTCCACATTTTTACGTTTCATTTTAACATTTTCGATTTTTGCCATACATTTTGATATATTTTTATACTTTTTGAAAACCTATATTCACAAAACACAAACAATTTACATTTTACTTATATAAACTAACTTGATGACGTCAAAGTATAGATGTTAATGCCTAAATATCTTTCTTTAGATAGACTTTATACTTTAGTCCAATTATTTATAATGAGGCATTTACACTATAAAAGGCAGAGAATGGGTTGGGTGTGGGGTATGAAAGGGAGGATAGAGGGTTGGGTGTGGGTTGGGGGGGG